AGATGACAAAGTCCTAGATCTTGAGGCTCCCCGTATCCACAGCCACTCCGTCTTACCAGGGTTCAGCTTAATGTCTTGGATCAATCACTCTGTATTAAGGATTCATATGTACTTAGTGATATCCCTAGTATTCAGAATCTATCAACCATTGTGGATTTTTCAGACATAGAATTTGGCTAAAGTAATTATTATGCAACATTGATACACCTGATTTACAGCAATGGATCTTTGAAATGTATTTCTTGTCAACATTTGTATTAGTTCTTCAACAAAGGGACAGGGAAGGCAGGAGGCAGGAAGGCATGGGCAATGTCCGCCAACTAACTTTTCTCACCTCAGTTTTGAAATTGGATACTGTAATCAGTATGCCAGCAGAGGTATGATTCCATTTTCAAAGCAAAGGATAAACATAAATGTTAACTCTCTCACTGAAAAGAGTAGATAATACCACTATGGAAAACATAAACCAGTCCTTGCCTTATATTGTTTTGTTTCACTTTTAAAATGACAAATGCCCTGAAATAGGCATACTATGTATTTTTATGAGATGGAGAAAGGAGAAGAAGACACAATCAATTTCCCAACATTGACATCACTAATTGTAATTATTGGGAAACAATGACTCATCAATTAGACTGTTCTCATTTTACTAAGGGGAATTTCAAAAACAGCATATGGTGCACCATAAAGGTCAGCTGTTCAAAGAATTTTAAAATTAATTTGAGCATAGGGCTGAAATATATCTAAACAACAATTTACATCCTAACCCAAGGCTGTATTTCGTTGCATGTTCTAGATGGTAAGGTTGAGCTGCCAAATTTGGCCTGCAAAAAAATTAATTTTCTGTATCTCTTTGCTGCCGCCTCATGGTTGTCTTGATCTGTGCAGCCCGTAACTGGTAGCTACAACTTAGGTTCAGGCTGCAAGGGATGCAAAAGTTCATTCACTTTTAGGTAATGAAGAACACAAGTATTTCTTACAGCCATGATTTTCTGTGTCATAAGAGGATCTCCTATGTCAAGTTATTTAACAGTATGTTTCTTAGAAACAGCTGTTTGAAACAAAGGCATAAGTCAATCCTGAATTCAAGAACCCAGTATTATCACCACAGGGATAATATTAGTAATTAGTAATAGTAAAAACTATTAGTAATCAGACCTTTGGATTTACAGAACAAAACTTAGATCAAGTGCGCCTTCATATTATTTATTACAAACTATGAAAAATAGACACACAAGCCTATTTAACTGATGCTTTCTGTCCCAAGCTGGAGCATTTGTACATCCTGACCAATGAAGAAATCCACATTCTAACTTGCATGGGATATCCATGAACTCGCTTCAGATATAATTCCTTTACATATGTAAACTCTTACATTGTCATGCTTTAACAACAGTTCTTTTCTCTTCAGCATTTAATAAATGTAGGAATAATCTTGAAATGCTTGGGACTAGTTTCTCAAATCCCTAATTATTGGTTGTGCTGTCTGGGGTTTATAGGAATTACAGTCTATAACATCTGATAGATAGATTGCTATCTTTACGATGAAAACTTCAAAACAGATCAGGCTTTAACAAAGCAAGCTGCTTATATGCAAAGTTCTGCCAGCCAAATGTTGGATTTTTCTCAGTTCTGATTACTAGATTTTTTTTTCCTTTTAAGTAATTTATCATTATTTCAGACCATGGTATCAGTAATCCTAACTCTGAAATGCTTAAAGGGGATAAAACAGATGCAGCCAACTGGCACTTACACATACAAAAATATCAACACCAAAAATTAAATTTAAAAAGATACTTAAAAGAATAGAAAAAGCCAATTTTGGAAGGAGGAAGATTCCCCCATCCTAGCATTCTGTTTTCTTTTGATACACTGTAGCAGCGTTACTCTCATCTTAATCATAAAACATCTTCTTATCCAATTTTTTCTGTTAAAGTATTAGTACTTTCTTGGTATAGTTGAGTGTATAAAGGTGCACAATTTTTAAGAAAAGAAATGCTCACATATCATTAAGCTATATTTTACATAAGTTTAAAACATTTTAGCGCTTATTTTTTTTATCTAAAACTAGCTACACAGACTTCTTCATCATAACTATTACAGAAAATATACTTTTAAAACAGTATACAAATATCACAATTCTATACAAGCACAAATGATTTGTTTCAACGCATTCCAAGGAGCTGACGGCTTTTCAGCTGATAGTGTTTCTCCAGTTCACACAGGGCTTGAGCACGCAGGTTTGCAGCATAAAGGCGCTTCTTCAAATTACAACTTTTTTCTTTTGATTGGGAAAAGTTTTCCAGGTTGTCCTCACACTGGGCATTTTCTTTACTTTCATCACCAAACTGAACTTTCTTTTTTCTTGTCGTATGGATAGGTAATATTTCATCTTCTTAAAAACATAAACAGAAAGATACTTTTGTAATACTAATGTAAACTTCTTTAGCTATCAAATTTGCAAAATATTAGAATTCATATCTTTTGGTGGCCTAATTGGGCAAATGTGAATACGAAGCCATATTAACATAAAGGCAAGCACTGTTATGCAATCCAGTAGGAGTAACTTATTAGTGAAGAAAAAAAATTAAGGTAAAGTTTTATTATAGTTTCTAAACCCATTCCAGCTTAATCTTTTTTTTTTTTTCGTTTTTTGTGGAAGAACAGGATTTTTCTCTGAAAGTCATTTGAAACATATCTAGACAATATTCAGATGAACAAACAGCATCAGTCTCTTTTATGCTCTTGTTTTTTAGCTTTAGTTAATCTCTTAATTTCATGATTAATTCTCCTTTGTAAAAAGAGAGTGATATGTAAGCAAGAACCAGCAGTGCTAAGAAGATTTATCTTGAAAAAGCTAATACATTTGGTAGAATTATATAAAATCAATTTGCCTAGAATAATGACATGGCACCTTTGATAATAGTATGAGCATCTTTGATCATATAATATTCTTTTCTCACAATAATATAATATAGTTCTTTTATTATTTTTTCTATTATTTTATTCTTGAAGTTGCATACCAGTCTGTGAAGCCTATTCCAACAAGAGGTGTTTAAATTCAGAAACTGGCTATTATAGATTTTTAATTGACATACATTTTTATTCTCTTTCTTCTTGACAACACAGAGTATGTGCGCACCCATAAATCCTTTATTCCCTTTAACTATCCTACAAGGGAAATTGGAGTCAGGCACACCTAGCTTTTGCTGATCTAGATGACTATGACCTATAGTTTCTTAGGGTTTGCTGGTCTAAGTTCAACAGGCTATGTACTCAGTCATGCCAGCAATTTGGGATATATGAAGAGACACATTTGCTCACAATCTTCCTGTTATTGCTGGTATCTCCTATTGAATAAATAATGAGAAGGAACAGTAAACTACTGATCTTTTTTCTTGGAAAATTATTTGGATCAGGTCTGAAGGGAGAAGTGAGTGAAATGGCAGTAGGAAGTAGAGGCACTGAAGGAGAGGGCCCCACAAAAGTCCCAACCAAGGAGTTGGTTGGTTGTTGGTACAAGATAATGCAATATGTCTATGATCACATTGGGAAGGGAGGGAGGGAGGGAGAGAGGGGAGAAGAACAAAAAGCATGCAATTAAGTAATTAATTTTAAAATCCTGATAAAAAATGACTGTTCTGTGCTCTGTAGTGATAAGCTGGGAACCCAGCTCTAAGAGCAAAAACCAAGGAAAATCTGACCCAGTCTTTATCATCAACCAACATTTGGAACAACCAACATAGAGTGGGAAGGCTACTGAGTCCAACCCTTTCCTCAACAGAGATTCAGATTAAAGCAATCTTACACATGGTTCCTAGTCTCTGTTTGAACATATCCAGCAAAGGAAAGCTTCCTTGGTAACTGATTCAAGTATCAAGGGAACTTCTGATCAAAACTTGTTAGGCTTTCCTAACACTCAACCCAAATCTGCCTTCCTGTAACTTAAATCTGCTATTCCATTTCTTGCCCTCTAGAATGATAAGAGAACAGGTCTTGGTTTTCCTCTGTGTAATATCCTTTGAGATATTTTAAGAGTACTATCATTTTCCCCTCAGTCTTCCTAAGGAAAAACATTTCCAGCCCCTTCAGTCTCCCTGCATAGAATTTTGGCATATTAAATCTGGGCTGCAAAAATTCAGACAACCAATAGCATTAGAATCTACAATGGAATGCTCAAGAGACCTTGGGAACACAGAGGAGGCAGCAAGACAGTTAAACGAGTTAACAGTCCAGTCCAGAAGAGATTCTTGAGTCCAGGTGAAGCATCAGAAAGTAACCCCACCTTAATTAAATATATGTTGTGTGGAAGAATCTTTTGTAGGCTTTCAATATTCTGTTACTTTATTATAATATTTTTCCAGAACTCAAAATGGTTCTTGTTTCCTCAGCTTGCCAGCTCGCAGGGTCTGACATTAATCTTGATGTGGAGTTACTCTTTCTCTCACACTTCCCTCCTGTTTCCTCCCTTCACTGTCTTGCTGCCTCCTCTGTGTTTCCAAGGTCTGCTAAGCATGCCATTACAGAATCTTATGTCTCTGCTGCCAACTTGTGATCCGCTGATTTTTTGCAGCCCAAGAGCTGCAAAATGGTAGGTTTTTGAGTCCATAGCCCATATGGTATACCTAACTTGAACATCTTTGTTATTCTTCTCTGAACATTCTTGCTATTCTTTGATTCCATCTTAAAATGTAGCATTCAGAACTGGAAATACTACTCAAAATTGGTCCGGTCAATAGAGAATAAAGCAGAACTGTAACTTTCTATGATTTGCAAACTGCTTCTGTTGATGCAGCCTAGCATTTAATTTGCACCCAGATTATACTGCTTTTATTCACTTTCCATGATACTTTTCACCTGTACTAACTCATATTCTATACATGTACATTTTAATTTTTTTCTAAGAAAAGAGCTATATTTGTCTCTGTTATTCTGTTATTCACAACCTATTTTTCTAATCTATCAAGATCAGATAGAATTTTATTTCTGTCTTCCAGGGTATTAGTATGCTACTCAATTCTGTGTACACAGATTTGATCAGCATTCCCTCCATTTCTTCATCCAAGTCATCAGGAAAAAAAAAGTTGAAGAATACAGGATTAAAACTTGTAAAACGCCACTCTAGTTCAGTGACTAACCATTGATGGGTATTCTGTGAATACAAATTTTAGGTCGACAACACTATTGTCTGCTCTTCAGCCCACACTTAATCGCCTTGTTAATCAGAATGTCACTGAGTACTTAGAAAAGAGGCCACCAAAGCATCTGTTAATGTCTTCTGTGCTTCTACTTTCAGACAGCTTAGGCCCACGTAACTTTTTTTAGATGAAGGGCCTCTGAGTGGTATCTCAGAGCTAGAAGGGCCAGGACAAAGAACTAAGCAAAGTCAGGACAGAAACTAAGTTTGATTCACAGTAATCATACTGTAGTTAGTTAATATGATAATCTAAGGAAGAACGGTTTTTCTCTTCTATCACGTTAAAAATCACAATTTCATGGTAAGTTTTGGACAACCAAAGCATGAGGAGATGCAATCGGCTTTGGATCTTAGGATGTGTTCTCCATACATATTTAGAACAGTCTAGCAGAGAAAGCTGTGAAGGAAAAATCCTTAAAACATATATAATGGAATTGTGGATGGAGATGTAGCTAAAGATCAGTAAAATAATAGGACAAATCATGAATCTTAACTGAAAAGTTATTGTTTTATTTTCTTCCAAAACCTAAACAAATATTACAGAGGAACTAAAGCTTTATTCTACTTAACATTTAGGGCAACATTTAGCAAACAAATGTTTGTTTGCACAAATGCACTGTTCTTCCTACTGCTCTGAATGAAAGATCTTAGTAGCATTCAGTGAGAAAGGGAAAATTCATTCTAACTGCATCCATGTATCCATCCAACAGATGGACATCACAGATTCCACCCTGCCACTCACTAGGTCTGCTGAACAGATGCTTAACATAAATGAGTATCATTTTACATGGTAAGTAACATTTTCTATAACCCTAAATAAATATGGCAATGTAAGATTTTATTGAACTAGTTTCCATGATTTTTTCAGAATTTTGCTACACTATTTTATTGCATTAATAAGTTTTTCATTTCAGAAAGGTATCTAAAATACAGAACATTTATGATCCCCTCTTCAATCCTTTTCCTTTCCTTAGACCCTAGTCAAGAGTCTTCAGGTTCTTATAAGCAAAGCAACTTCCCTGCAAAAGTGGCCTCTTGACTCAGCCAGCATAGAAAAACGTAAAATTTGTGGTGAAAAAATGCCCCTGGTTTCTTAATTCTATAGATGTGGTTATCAGATACCATATACCAAAATCTTTAAGCCTACAGAATACATGTCATCCAAAACAGTAAGCAGTGTGGGCTTTTGTTTGTAGATTTTTCTTCACTATATACTGTAATTGAATAGTTTAGTATATTTGCAAGCTATGCTTCAAGCAGTTTCTACACTCAGAGTAGGTAAAAGGAAGCACTTCTTTGCATAGCACATAGTGAAACTAGAAATTAGGCCCCATTATCTTGGACAAGTATAGATTACTAAAAGTATGGGAGAGAATATGCATCTCAATGCCAGATGCTGTTACTGTGCCCATGTCCTGCTCTTGGGCTTCTCAAAAACATCTGGTTGATAACGATAGAGACAAAACTATAGAGAGGTCATCAGTATGATTCAGCATAGCCCCCTCTTATATATTTTTGGTAAGGTCAATGAACATAGAAGTTTAAAATGTCAAATAGAAAGATAATAAAAGCAAATTCAGAAAACCTTGTTTCTTAAAAGAAACAGCTTTACAATATATATTTGGTTGTGATTTTTTTTGGTAATGGAAGTAGTTAAATGATGCCTATGTAAGAGCTGCACTGGGGCGAGGGCAGACTAGTTACAGTTAGAATGCCTTGCTTAATGTTAGCTATTGTTAGCCGAAGTTTAATTTTAGTGTCAAAACAGGATAGTCCATCTCCTACAGTTGTTCTGATATAGCACTGTGGTCCTTCACTATTCAGGTGAATTAAGAGCAAATGATGTTTAAGAGACAGCTGTTTCTACCACAAATAAAAAATGGAATGTGTTTAGTTCCTAGACAACTAAGCCCTTTACTTATAATGGTATTTTCTTTAAAAAGAAGTCTTCATTGGCTAGACAAGCTTTGAAGCTGTATACGCTCAAAGTGGCCTTTTTCAAAGACAGCCCCAAATATTTTGTGAGAAACAGCTTTTGAAGCAGAGAGGGATTTCCAAGAATGCAATAACTCCTTGTATCCCAGGAACTTGGCTGAAAAACAGCCAAAGGGCAGCATTTTGAAGCCAGCTCCACAGGAACATAGTGGCATATATAATTATAGTAAAACTAAATGCCTTTAAGAAATGAAGACCTAACTTAAAATCAGTGCCACTGAAATCTTTCATTATCCTATCTATATAAATCTCATTTTCTTATTTGCAAAGTAGTAAAATATATTTTATTAAGGACTAACTTCACAGTTCAATAAAGTCAAAATTGAACATTGATCACAATTTGAAACATATAAAAGTAAAAAACAATCTCATCCGATACAAGGGAAGGAGAATTAAATAGCTATATTTACACAATGTCACCTAAACTTATATACAAGGCATACCAGCCAAGTATCACATAAAAACAGAAACTGATGAAGTTGTTTGTATGATTGTATACTTTTCCTGCCTCTGACCAAATACACAAAACAGTAACAACAGCAGTCATTTTGAAAGGTCTAATAGAAGTCATAATTTTCTATATAGGGAAAGGTTCTTACAATCCTGAAGCATGTATACTTCATTACTTGTGAAGGGCCATTACTGAAACCTGAGATAAAGAATTTGTGGTCCTGCAACTCTTGCAGCATCTTTTATTGTTTCCTGCATCAGTGGGGCTACTTAGAGTTCCAGACCTAAGAGCTAGAGGACCACAGGTTCAGTATAGAAGCAGGTCTGGCTTTTCTACATAATTACACAGTAAAGAATTTTATAATATTCTGGGATTACTACAATTCCAGAAGGCTGATATCAGCCATAGAAATAAACAAAATATAATGATGGGAGCTTCTGCATTCCTGGTTAGTAGTCCAGTAGGAGCTTCCTGTATCTTCTCCTACCTGGGCTAGTTGCTGGCAGGAAGAATCTCTGGTCCTTGAATAAGTTGTAATTCCTCATCAAATTCTCAGCCCTATGAAAAGGAGTTGATTAGTACAAACAAAGCTTACATTAAAATGATTTCCAAAAGAATTCCCCTATTAGTCTGGGGCATTTTGAAGACTAGCAAATATTGTTACATCACAAATGCCTGGCTAGGCAGCCTTTCCCAGCCTGAGTTCCATCCAGATGCAAGAATTTTAATTTCTAGTATTCTCAGAAAGGGTCATAATGGCTGGAGGATACCAGGAATTAAATTCCACACATAGGAGGGCACCTAACCCTTCCAGTAACGATCCAGTCACAAAAACCTATGCCATAACATTTTTAAAACAAACCTTATTGTAGCAAACAGACATTTCAGACATTTTAAGAACAGACCTAGACAATTTGTCCTCTGCCAATCTCTCCCGAACACACAGTTCTCGTTCTCTCTCTGGAACAAAAAGACAAATAGGTTTATAAGACTGCAGTTAACACCACTGGATATTTTATTTGGCAGAGAGGCATGTACAATAACATTTGTTTATTTGGGTGACTATTATGTCTATGAGAAAAGCTGCATACAATTTAAATACTTTGTGAAGTCCAAATGCTGGTATTGGCAATCTCCTAAGCTCAGCTGTAAGCTTTGCATTGTCTTACTTATTTGTTAAACATATATTCTGTCTTTGCTACAGGAGCTCAAGGCAATGTACATAGCACTCTAGCCTCCAATTTTTCCATAAACAACAACCCTGTAAGGCACCTTGAACTGAGCGCACCATTGACCCAAAGTCACTCAGCGAACTTTCATGGGAGAGCAGATTTCAACTCTGGTGTTATCCAACAATTTATGCACTACACCGCCCGGCCTTATTATAGCACAGTCATCATTTAGATCCTTAGGCAGCAATGCTCACATTAACATTCTGTGTATGTTTTGAACTCAGAGAGCATCAGTAGACTATTTTAGGACACTAGAAGTCCAATTATAGGTGTTCTGAAACTCCATGTTATTTTATTGTCACTATGCCTTCACTTCAAATCTGCATTTTCACCTTAGGCATCCTGCAGAGATGTGTTACATTTGTTGTGATGCTTAAGCTCATATCACCCAAGGACACTGCAATTCCACATCCCATTGCTTTATTAATTCTCTTACGTTCTAGTCTGTGTTCCCTTTCCTTTATAGCTTTCTCTCTCTCTTGCAGCTGTTGTTCTTTCAGTTTTAGCTCATTTGTTGGTGTTCCTGAAAGTCTTTCTACTTTATCCTGTTCTGATCGTCGCCCTTTCCTCTCCAAAATTCTCACTTGCTCCTCAGATACCAAGTCAACTATCAAGAGATTCTGTAGAATTTCTTCAACTGAAGGCCGGCAATAATCCTTGAAATCAGAAAAATGCATATTCAGTTTACAGAAAAGTTCTTTAAAAAATGCTAGGGAAAGAGGACACTTTGGGATCTAATGAGACAGGTATATGTCTCTCCCACACAACTGGATTTAATTTCACTACAGGCACTTACAGTGGGGCAAAAAAGTATTTAGTCAGCCACCAATTGTGCAAGTTCTCCCACTTAAAAAGATGAGAGAGGCCTGTAATTTTCATCATAGGTATGCAGTGATGTTTTGGGGCTGTCGCTGGGCAACACGGACTTTCAACTCCCTCCAAAGGTTTTCCATGGGGTTGAGATCTGGAGACTGGCTAGGCCACTCCAGGACCTTGAAATGCTTCTTACGAAGCCACTCCTTCGTTGCCCGGGTGGTGTGTTTGGGATCACTGTACTGTTGCTGGTATTTTGGCCCATTCCTCCATGCAGATCTCCTCTAGAGCAGTGATGTTTTGGGGCTGTCGCTGGGCAACACGGACTTTCAACTCCCTCCAAAGGTTTTCCATGGGGTTGAGATCTGGAGACTGGCTAGGCCACTCCAGGACCTTGAAATGCTTCTTACGAAGCCACTCCTTCGTTGCCCGGGTGGTGTGTTTGGGATCACTGTACTGTTGCTGGTATTTTGGCCCATTCCTCCATGCAGATCTCCTCTAGAGCAGTGATGTTTTGGGGCTGTCGCTGGGCAACACGGACTTTCAACTCCCTCCAAAGGTTTTCCATGGGGTTGAGATCTGGAGACTGGCTAGGCCACTCCAGGACCTTGAAATGCTTCTTACGAAGCCACTCCTTCGTTGCCCGGGTGGTGTGTTTGGGATCACTGTACTGTTGCTGGTATTTTGGCCCATTCCTCCATGCAGATCTCCTCTAGAGCAGTGATGTTTTGGGGCTGTCGCTGGGCAACACGGACTTTCAACTCCCTCCAAAGGTTTTCCATGGGGTTGAGATCTGGAGACTGGCTAGGCCACTCCAGGACCTTGAAATGCTTCTTACGAAGCCACTCCTTCGTTGCCCGGGTGGTGTGTTTGGGATCACTGTTTACAGGCCTCTCTCATCTTTTTAAGTGGGAGAACTTGCACAATTGGTGGCTGACTAAATACTTTTCTGCCCCACTGTAATTGTATTAAAGACTAATCTAAACAGTCACACAAACTTACTACATTCTCAGGATCATCCTTTGAGAGATATAGGGCATGGAGGTGGGGAATTAATACTTAAAAGTTAAATGGGATAGGGACTTTAGGCCTAGAAAATTTCCCATGTGCAGCTCCTTCAATACTGCTCCTTGTTTTTTTTTGAGAAGCCATCTTACCTTCAGGTTTAGCATCTTTGTGATGAGTTCATTCAGCTGTTCCGAATAACGATATGGAATTCGTCTGAACTTTCCTTCCCTTATCTTTTCTGCTAGCTCTTTCTGGTTAAAAGCTGTAAATGGAGGTCTAGAAAAAGTGAATGACATGCTTTTCAATTTTAAATCCACAAAATGGTCACCATTAAACTTCTAATGTTTCTAGAGGATTGTGATGCAAAATATTAAGTTCTGTTGCTTGACATCAAGAATACAGCTAAACTGAAGAGCAGCTCAATATTACTTTCAAATGCATGCTTAAAAACATTTGCAGTACTGTACTTACGACAATGCACATAACTCATATAGCAAGCAGCCTAGAGACCAGATGTCAGATTTTTCATTATAGGACATGCGATTTATTTGTTCCTAAAAAAGAGAAAAAAGTTCTTAAAATATAAATACTTGCATGGCAATAAAATTGCAAATTAGAGGGAATACAGTTCTAGGAAATTTGTTACATAGTAGTATGCATTTTGGAGAAATTTTAGTTATAAGCAATCCTTAACAGTGCATACCTTCCTAACCTAATTTTCTTCAAAATGGCACCACTCAGATAGGTTTTGTGAATAGGTCCACACAACATGTTAAGCCATTGGCTGATGTGGGACTTCCGGGCTGCTAAGCCATTGTTTGAATAAACCATAGTGGCTAGGTTCACAGAACATGCATATCAAACAAATCAAAATAATATGGCTTGGTATGTTGAGTAAACCCAGCCTATATCTTCTGGAATTATCTGCCAGCATGACCTTGCTTGCTAAGAAATCGGTTCAAAGATTTTACTCTCAATATATCCATCCAGATCAGGTAAGCAGAACTATAAGAAAAAAACTTAGTAAATGATTAACTTAAGCCCTATAAATGTCAGTGGGAATACTTCAAGTACAATCAAACTCAATGTAGATAACATTTCATACTACATTAAGATAGTTAGCATTGGCTCAGTTTGTTAATAATTATAGTATAGGAACCGCATCCTTATTTGCCCTAGACCTGGATTCTGCCAGCACTGGAAGACAAAAGCAGATTTGGAATTCCAAGAAAATACTCTCTTCACTCACTCCTTACCTTTCAAGGTGGTTTTAAATTTTTCTCTTCTAACAGTTCTGAAAGGTAGTAAACAAGTTTTGTCCCACAATATTTTTGTAGGTGTTTTTTCTAAAAATATTCTTTCTTGGTATATTATGTATATATAGCTATCTAGGTTTGAATTATCCCATTTAATGATTATGTTTCAGATATTCTTTGCAGATATATAAAGGATATATTTATTATTTTCAGTGTCTTCTTAATATTTTAAAAGCCCATGAAAAAAAGCATGTGTTTTTAAATTGTAAATATTTACACAGCTATGACGAGTACTATGGTATAAATACTGTAATTTCCAATAAAGCTTTGAGCAAAATTCAAAAACATGCAATCAGACTTCTACTTGCCCAATAAGCATTCCCCTTCTTACTCCCAGAGTAAAATTTGGGGCATATAAAGGAGTGAAGATGGAGGAGATCCCCTAACTGTTCCACAGATAGAACTAATTAAGCTTCTATCAGGGGGACAGTTTAATTAGGAAGAAGCCTAGTGTGATGTCAAATCATTCTAGTTCAATTAATTTTGGCTGTTAAAAAAATCAAGGTAGTTAATATAGCTTGGCAAAATACATGCTCAATTTTAGTTTTGTTTACTGGATATACTGTAAATCAACCATGCTAAAGTAGAACCAAACCAATCTGAAAAAATACAACAGCAGCAGATTTTGAAGGACACTTACTGGAGACATATAATATGGTGTACCAACAAATGTTTTTGCAAAACTGGTATCATGATGAAGTATTCTAGCCAGGCCAAAGTCACCAAGCTTCACATTCTTCTTGCCATCAAGGAAAATATTTGCTGGCTTCAAATCTCGGTGAAGCACAGTGTGACCACCATCACTCCGCCTGTGACACTCTTTCAGGGCCAAAGTCAATTGAGTGAGGACTCGAAGAACAAAGGTTTCATCCAGATAATGTCTTTTGAAAGAGAAAAAGGTCATTTTAAGTACCTTAAGAAACCTCTTTTTTTCATTAAGCCAGTTTCCAAAGTTCTATACTATAGAGTGTGATTTAAGAATAAGAAACTTTAGGTTCCTTAGAGAGGAGAGGTTTTTACCTGAATAGTTAAGTCCTGAAACAAAACTAAATTTGATTCTCACTTTGCAGATAACCCTCTCACATACTCTTTTAATTTCTCCCATAACAAATGTAGAATTTATATTTATATGGAAAAAATAAAACACTGCAAATGGGCAAAACTGGCCCTCTAATCCTAACGGAATGCAGTGAATTTGTGTTCTGAATACAATATGAGGAACAGTTTTGCAAGACCCCTTCTTTTTCTGGTGTTTCCAAGCCTTCTTTATACATACAACTCAGCAACTAACATTTTGTTGTCATGAATTTGACAATAACCAAAAATTAGTTGTAATAAATATTGGTTTGATTAACTTCTTGTTCCCTCATATTCTGGCTTCTACCTCTGATTTTTTCCCATTTTGCTTCGCTCATTCATTTCCCATTTTTTTTCATTTGTACCATATGAAGACAGAATAAATTTTTTGCTACTAATCTTCTCTAAACAGTTTAACAGGAATTCTATCTCCCTCTTCCTAACCTCTTGTAAATACTTCAAAGAGGCAGAAGATTACAGGATTTATGTAAGATAAGAAGCAGCAAGAATCTATTATTTTCTTATCCAAATCTATTGACAAGGGAGAAAAAATCCCCACCTCGCCCCCAAGTTCAAGAAACAGACTGTTTTTTCATTTCTGCAGATGTTTCTCCCACAAATGTTAGTACAAGATAAATCTGTCTGTTTGGAACCTTCTTTTAAACAGAAGAGTTTGGGAAGAACAAGAATTGCCTCCAGGTTTGGGGAAGGATAATTTTTACCTTTTTCAACTTTAGCATAAAGAGGTTTCTTGGAGTCCTCTTTGCTGGAGGACCAGGAAATTTGCCCCAACATATGGAATTCTGGATTCCTAGCAACCCTTGATCTATTCTGTTCATCATTCTGTTATGTATACTCAGTGTCCCATTTTTGGGATTGCTGTTGGAACAGTGCTTATGGTTTTCAACATTTACTACTCTAGTTCAGATTTAAAAGGAAGATGCAGGGTCAAAACAAAAGGATTTCAGTTTATCACATTTTACTTTACAACATTGAACAGACAGCTTCCATAACAGGAACAACTATCATTACTGGCCAGTGCAAATAATTTTTAATTTTGTAAATGTAAACTTGTATTCAAGTTTTGTTTTGTATTCCATCCTCTGTTATCCTCTGTGTCATTTAAAGTTGAGGCCAAAATACAGGGAGATGGGGGTAAAATACTTTAAATAGAAAAGTGCAGAAATAATTGCTTAGCTTATAAACTATTTTATAATCCAAACGTTTTGGGAATATTTGAATTTGAATATATCCTGCCATATTATAAAAATAATCAGACCAAATACCATTGTGAAAGTTGTCTTAACTCCTGAAATTTCAGTGATTACTCTTAACATGCATATAGTTAAAGATTAATAAATTAGAGCACTTCTTTTTGTGGTGTAAAATTAGGCCTTCTCCAATCAAACAATAGAGTGATCAGAAGCTTCCAAGTGCCATCTTTTTATATCTCATTGTTTCCATGGATTTAACTTCAGTCTCAAGACACTTGCTCTCTAACAGCCATTGGAGCAGGGGAACTGCAAGGGAGTTCATGCCTATCTATTGCTAGGTAACTCTAGTTAGCTGCCCTAACTTTGGCAATTGTACACCACAGAAGTGTTGCAAGAAAGGGGATACAAGGAAGAGATCAGTAAACAGTACAGCTCAGTCCTGAGTACATATTCAACTACAATCAGAAGGGTTAGGAAGAAGGCTGGTTATCTAAAAGTGCACTAAACAGTGATTAATTCCAACATACATCCCATAAACACCACGATAATCCAGAGAGGTTTTACATGCCTTTCTTTTGTACATTTTGCAATCAGAGTAGCCAAGTCTCCACCTTCACAATATTCCATCACAATATAAAGCGTTGTGTTTGTCCTATCAATTATACGATCATAATAACGGACAATATTTGGATGTTTCAGTTCACGAAGTAAGTTCACTTCAGAAACAAGCATTTGTTTTTCAGATTCTGTCATAGATCCATAGTCAAGCTCTTTCCAGACTAAAACCTGAAAGAAGATAAATAAGCCATTCTAAACAATGAAAGTACAAAAATTATTAAATAGCACAATCCTATTGTGCCTTGAATGAAGTCCAGTGGACTAGAATCTTTCTTTAAACCAAGAATAAGCAAACTATATCTCATGCCTCACTTGCAACAAACATCTTACCCCTCCTTTTTTATAATATTAAGAGATACTCTTATAAAATAAGTTTAATAATAAAACAATAATAAAAAGCAGCTCTTTTTTAATCCAGGCTTTCCCTCAAGAAGAGTCTTGCCTTGTTAAATATAATTATAATATGTTGAATATACTGCCTCTGGCAGGAGGCTATAAATTCTGTCAACTCTAACCAGGAATAACTTAACAAGGGTTTCAGGACTTTTACACCATAGTGATCCAAGGAGAAGCAGATATCCAGGCCTCCCTCTATATCCCACTGAATTTTTAACTACATAATCAAGAAGAACAGAAAATCTTAGGGTTTTAAAAAATAATAATAATTACCCAAACTAGTCACAAATATCCTAAGCTTGTTTGTGCCACAAACGTCCAAGTGGAAACAAACTACCCCAAAGGCCTGAGACTTCACAGCAACATTTCTTAAACTATATTCCTCAGAACACAAGTGTTTTCTGAACAACGTGGGATGGTCCCAAGACCCAATAAGTTTTTGTGGATTTTCAGTCTGTTCAGTTTCACTAGCCAAGCATATACTCTACCAATGAATGAAGAGATGTTGGCAGATCTATCCCAAACAATAAAACAATGGGGGGGGGAGGGGGAATCACCAGAAGACTGTTGGGTGAAAATTCACAAGTAAATTAAGCCTTTAAGTGAAAAGGTGCATGGACCTACAACTATTAGCCTTTAGGAAGGCTGTGAAAACCTTCCTATTCCTAAGAGCATTTAGGGATAAGGGGCATACTGGATTGCCTCTTAAAACACAATTATTAGATTTAATTTATTATATTTCTATATTGTTGACTACCCAGTCTTAGTGCTTTAGAAATAACCAAAACCATCCAAATATAGAATAACATCCCATAAAATTATAATAAAATTCCTCACATAGCAATGACCCCCTGACAGTATTAGACTAAATACTATGGAACAGTTCTCTTCTCAATGTCTTCCTGAAGGCCATCAGATTTATTTTGTTTTAATATGTGTTTATTGCAGAATTACAAAATAGTACTATGACATTGCTAGTCACAAGATGCATGCTCCCATTATACAAAACGTGAAATATGTCTGCTGTGTAGCAGTAAAATCCAACTTCTAAACTGTGGCCATGGCCAGGCTAACATAGAAAATGTCTTCTTAGCACACATATCCAGGTCCATTAAAATAATAGCAAAAATTCCAATTTAATTGTAATTATCAAAGGAACTACAGGTTAATTTAAGGATAGCTTCTAGAATTGCATGTGGCCCTAGTACTTCAGAATATGTATCCCAGACCTAAAGTATTAGAATCCAGAATTCAAGGTTATTTATTGTGTGTGATTCAACCCACAGATGCATGTAACTACATATGTACTGCCTTGTTAATTGAAAAAAATAAACCAAATTCAGGAACATTTTGGGAGCTGGTCTTCTTCTCCTTGTGCAGGGCCAACTTCAAAGCTAATTTCACTTTATGAGCTAGTAAGGCGAGCAACTAAAACCACGTGAGAGACTAGCGAGGTGGGGTCTTCCTGGCTGTCTCAACCTCCCCTCGAATGGCTGCTTGTGTAACACATTGAATCACAAACTAGCCAACTACAGTTTAGCCTAGAATGCTGTGTGAATTGGTGGTAGCTTATGGTTCGGGATATCGTGCAGTTCTGCAACATGGACTAAATCTTGGTTAAGGTAACCACAAGTGCGGCGCCCGACGCTTGGCTCTCAAGAACTCTCCGGGCTTCAGGGATAACGGACAACCACCCCGTTGAGATCCATGAGTGCTGCAATGGATACACGAGGGCTGACCTTCCCCGCGCAACAGGGGCGGAAGAAGACGCTCCGCGGGGTTTAGGCGCACTCTGCGCGCGGGCCAGCAACGCCAGGTGCCAGGGGACACTTGCCCGGGGGTTTCTCCGCTCACCTTGCTGTCCGCCCTCCGCCGCACCTTCTGGCATCTGCCGTATGAACCGGCACCGATGGTGAGGAGTACCTCGTAATCCTCGGGGCGGCTCGGCATCCTCGCCCCCTCCGATATTCGAGAGACCCCAAAACAGTAAACACGCCGTTTCGCCACGGAAGATGTTTAAAACGCGCCGCGCCTCCCGCTGATTGGTCCGCCGTTGCGGCTCCGCCCAGGCCTCCCCGTCCGGTTTTCAATTGGCTTCTGTGGCTACGTGCCAGACGCGCCGCGCAACGGTTGCTTTGGCCGGTTGCTAGGCGACCACAACAAGTGGCGCTTCAGGGTGGCGCGAGAAACGAGTAGAGATCGTTCGGATTGGCTCTCGGTGCCCCGCCCCTATCCTAACCTGATACTTTGATCGTCGTCTGGCAGCCGAAAAGCATCCTAGGGTGATTGTCGGGAACCGGGTTTTTTATTTCAGACTGTCGTCACTTCCATTTCCGTATTGCAATTCCTTGTAGCTTCTAATCATTTGCCCTGTAAAGGTTACACGGGCAGGAAAGTTAGTTTGTTCTCTTTCATAAACTAAGACTGGGTTATAAACGACTAATCTTTAATAAGCTAACAGTGCAACCCTTTATATATCTGTTCAGAAATAAACGTTATTTACTTACCTTGTTCATCAACTGCCCTTGGAACAAAGCTTCCCTATACAGGTATAATATTCCATAAAATAAAATCCATAAATATAATATTCCATAAGACAAAGTCATTAGACAATATTAAACTTGACAATAGAGAAACCAAGGCAGTGACGTAGTAGCAGACCAATACTGTATCAATATTGTAAACTACTGTGGGAAGATTAAAGTCATCAAGAATTGTTAAGAAAAGCTTTAAACAAATAATAGCTAGAAATATAAGCATAAAACATAGTCACTTTTTTAGGAAGGAGACGGATATTTTACATCAGAAAGCAAGGGCATTCTGAGAATTTCATGGAATGTATTAGAGTTCTAGATGTTAAATGGCTTCACGTGCCTTTAAAGGCTATGAGGGAAGAAAACCATGGCTACAGTACAGTGCTTTCCATGCTATCTTGAGCTGATGGGACTCTTAAACAGAATCTCTTCATGCAGGCTTTTAAAGGACCAGAACCCTTCTCAAAATACCGTTCAGTCTTTTGTGGTGCTTCTTGTTTCATGATTTGATAGAGATGCGCAGTGCAACAAAATAGCTTACTTAAATTTTTGCCTTGGTTCCTCTTTATACTGCTCCTTCTTGTCCTGGGCATAAAGAATTTTTAAAATAATATTTCTTGTAGCATGAAAGGATGTACAAAATGTTCCATTCTAGAACAAAACATTCTGGGGAACTCCAGAATGCTCTGTCATTCCTCCAGAACATGATGTGGCTTCTAGAGTTCTGGATGTGGAAGGGCTGAAAGAGCTCTTTATTTGTAGGTTTAATTATGAGTCGTTCTGCATTTAAGTGGGTTGTGCAAAAATATTTATGCATGGAGCACCTCTTTCAAACTCTCAAAAGAGAAAAATCCCAATTTAATGGAATTTATTTATTTGTTTATTTCCACAATTTATATGCTACTCCATTTCCTCAGACTCTAGGTAATTCTGCACTGCAGCTTGAGCTGCTTGTCTTCCATGCTGTTCCCATCTGTTCCTTAAGTTCACTTCATAAATTCCAGACCGGACTGCAGTAAGCTGGCAACATGGCCATCCTGAGGCTCAGCCCCTACTACTGCCACTGCTAGACCTAACTGGTCATTCCCCTGCTTCTTGCCCTTCCTATTTATGCAAGGAAGGCAAAGCTCACTGGCTGGCTCCTTGTGGACTGGGGACCAGACTGGGTGGGCAGATTTAACTTGGAGAAGGTGGTCGCAGGTATATTCACTGAGACATAAAGATAAGATATTCATATTGTTAGAAAGAAAGCTTACGAGGTTCGTCTCCCAGCCGGGAATAAACACGCAGGCGGTTGCTTGAAGGAGAGAGAAGACTTTATTTCCGAGAGCCAGATACACAAAACGAATCGGGCGGCGGCGCTTGGGTTTCCCAGGAGTTCCTTTTATAGGGAAGATACTCTAGTTCCTTGAAAGGTGAGAAGGAATGCCCGCCCTCTAGGAATTCTTAGAAAAGGTAATTAGCCGGGATTCCAAGAGCGAGCTCCCTCCGGTGAAATTGACTAAGGAGCTTCTAAGGTCAAGCACCCTACTGAGATGGGGTTTCCTGTGTTTGCCTTATCAGGTATTGTCTAATTGGAATAGATCCTTTGGGAAAGAAATCTTTTTATGATTTGATTCTGGCTTCAAGGAATGTTGGCCCTTCCTGCTAGGTCTTTAGTTGTTTGATTCCGGGCTGGAGTGGAGGACTCTTGATTCTTCCTGCTACATTTTTAATCTTTTTAGGTGAGCCCG